AGTCAGTTAAGTGGCTGACTCTGGATTTCAGCTCAGGTCGTGGTCTCAGGGTCGTGGAATTGAGTCCCGAGTCAGGCTCTGCGCTCAGTGAAGAGCCTACTTAGGATTCTCTCACTCCCTCTGCCCCTCTCCCTGCTCTCTTGCTCTCTCTAAAATAATCTTTTAGAAAAATGTGTGGGTGGGGGGGGACTATATTTTTCAAAAATGGCAATGTTATAGTCAAAATCCTAGCTACAGAAAATAGAATGATTGTTGCCAGGGACTGAGGGAAGGAGAAATGGGAGTTAGTGTTTAATGAGTACAGAGTTTCAGTTGGGGAAGATGAGAAAGTTCTGGAGAGGGAGGATGGTGATGGTTGCACAAGAATGTGAATGTACTTAATGCCACAGAACTGTACATTTAAAAGTGTCTAAAATGATATATTTTATGTGTATTTTACCACAGTAAAAATGTGTCAGTGTTATGAAAGCCATATAAAGGCTGTAGAAAGTTTCTAGATTAAAGGACATTAACGAGACATGACAACTAAATGCAATATGTAACTATAGACTGGCTCCTAGAACAGAAGGGAAATAATTTACAAAGGACCCTAGGTCAAGGGACAACACTGAAATTGAAAAATGGATGGCAGATTAAAGTATTGGGGGGTTTTTTGTGGTTTTTTTTTTTTAAAGATTTTATTATTTGACAGAGAGAGACACAGCGAGAGAGGGAACACAAGTAGGGGGAGTGGGAGAGGGAGAAGCAGGCCTCCTGCAGAGCAGGGAGCCCGATGTGGGGCTCGATCCCAGGACCCTGGCATCATGACCCAGTAGACGCTTAATGACTGAGCCACCCAGGCGCCCCAGATTAAAGTATTGTATCAATGTGGATTTATGGAATTGATAATTGTGCAGTGGTTACTTAAGAGAATATCCCTATTCTTGGGAAATACACACTTTAGTGTTATATGTAACTTACCTCAAATAGTTCAATATTATGTAACATATACACACATACATGTATGTACGTGTGTGTGTGTACAGATTGAGGGGGGGAATCGGGAAGGGAGACAATGAAAAAGTAAATGAGGGGGCACCTGGGTGGCAGTGTCGTTGGGTGTCTGCCTTTGGCTCGGGTCATGATTCCGGGGTCCTGGGATCGAGTCCCATGTTGGGCTCCCTGCTTGGTGGGAAGCCTGCTTCTCCCTCTCCCACTCCCACTGCTTGTGTTCTCTCTCTTGTTGTCTCTATCAAATAAATAAATAAATAAATAATCTTTTAAAAAAAGGAAAAAAAAGTAAATGAGGTAAAATGTTAACAACAGTTGAATCTGAATAAGGGTATACAATTTTATTGCATTATTTTATTTTTGCAATTCTTTGGAAATTTGAAATTATTTCTAAGTGAAAAGTGAAAAAACAAAACCAAAAACCTAATCAGTTCTTTCCTTTCATTCTATTCTCTCTTAAACCCACTCTGGTCAGGCTGTGTTTCCCACAACTCCACTAAAATACATTTGACAAGGTTATCAATTAAGTCTAGTTTACTAACTTCAATGGTTAATTCTTGGTCTTTCTCTTACTTGACCCATCACTAGCATTTGACACAGTTTATCACTCCCCTCTTCTTGAAGTGTGTTGAATTCTGGACACCACTCTTTTACTGTTCTTTTCTCACATTCCTGGCTGCTCCTTCTCAATCTCCTTGACAGTTCCCTTTTATATATCTCCCTCTTCTAAACATTGAAGTGCCTCAGGACTCAGTGCTCAGAGCCAAGTCATCTAGGAGTTCTTTTGTGCTGTCAGGGTCCATTTCCCAATCTCAGTCTTATGTCTTGAGTCACTCACCTGAATTTGAGCATGTAGTATTCTTCCAGGAAATGCAAGGTCCTCCTCGCTTTGAGGTCTTACCCAAATTCAACTCCCTATTACCTGTTTCCCGGTTCAGAGCAGTTGGTAGCTGTGCACAATACAGAAAATCTCTCACACTATCCTGAGCACATATTCTAGGAGAAGGATGTAGGGCTGGAAACCCTTTTTTTTAAAATCCTGAAGAGATCTGAAGTGTAACTGTCCCATCAAAAGTTAGAAACCTAGGACCCAGTAAAGGGAAGGTATTTGTTGTTGGTCATTCGACTGATTAGTGGCAGTGTTTGAGCCAAAGCTCAGGTGTCTTCTGCTCACTTTTTAAGTGGTGATTTAACATGTTTGTTTCAGGGATTCAAGAATCTGATGAAAGCTACAGACTTTTTCCAAAGACCAGAGGCTAGTACATTCTTTTTCATCAAATTTCAGGAGTTTGAAGACCTTCGAGCACATCCAGACCTCAGGTTGCAAACCTCTGCTCTATCAGAAAATCCAAAACCTGGAGATATCTATAGGATAACTGATTCAGTGTCTTCAACAAATCAATGGTATGAAAAACTGGGGAAAGGAGAATATAAATGCTTAAGGTTAGAAGAGTCTTAGGAAGTCTAACAGTCAAATGCAGTATGTAGACCTTGTTTGAATTCTGATGCAAGCAAACTGTAAAAGGACATTTTGGGGACAACCAGGGAAATTTACATAGAGTATTTGATGACATTAAGGAATTATTAATTTTGTTAGATGTGAGATCATTATGTAAGAAAATTTATTTTTTTTAGAGATGAGTATCAAAATATTTAGGATTGAAATAGGATGTCTGGGATTCATTTTAAAATACAAAGAAAAGGGGTGCCTGGGTGGCTCAATCGTTAAGTGTCTGCCTTTGGCTCAGGTCATGATCCCAGGGTCCTGGGATCAAGCCCCACATCGGGCTCCCTGCTCAGTGGGAAGCCTGCTTCTCCCTCTCCCACTCCCCCTGCTTGTGTTCTCTCTCTCGCTGTGTCTCTCTCTGTCAAATAATCTTTTAAAAAAAAATACAAAGGGACAACTGGGTGACTCAGTCGGTTAAACATCTGCCTTCAGCTCAGGTCATGATCCCAGGTCCTGGGATGGAGTCCCACACTGGGCTCCTTGCTCATCAGGGAGCCTGCTTCTCCCTCTGCCTGCCGCTCCCCCTGCTTGTGCTCTATCTCCTTCCTCTCTCTGACAAATAAACAAAATCTTAAAAAAAAAATACAAAGAAAAAAACAGTTGAAGCAATTTTTTGCAAGATGTTTACAGTTAAATCTAGGAGAAGGGGATCTGGTGGTTTGTTTTTGTTTTTTATTTTTTTTTAAGATTTTATTTACTTATTTGACAGAGAGAGACACAGCGAGAGAGGAAACACAAGCAGGGGGAGCAGGAGAAGGAGAAGCAGGCTTCCCGCGGAGCAGGGATCCCGACGTGGGGCTCGATTCCAGGACCCTAGGATCACTACCCGAGCCGAAGGCAGACGCTTAATGACTGAGCCACCCAGGCGCCCCTGGTGGTTTGTTTTAATACTGTTCTACTTTTGGGGCGCCTGAGTGGCTCAGTGGTTAAGCGTCTGCCTTCGGCTCAGGTCATGATCCCAGGGTCCTGGGATCAAGCCCCACATCGGGCTCCCTGCTCCGCGGGAAGCCTGCTTCTCCCTCTCACACTCCCCCTGCTTGTGTTCTGTCTCTCGCTGTCTCTCTCTCTGTCAAACAAATAAATAAAATCTTAAAAAAAATACTGTTCTACTTTTGTGATTGAAACTTTTCATAATAAAAAGAATATACAAACAAGTTCTGCTCTCTGCTGTTCTGGCAAAGACAAGAGGATATCTAGGGTGTCACAGCCAGTACCGAGGTTTTGAGGCTTCCTGAAGAGCCATCCATAGAATTTCTGATTCTAGGACCCTAGGGCTACAAAAGCTAGACTGTTTTTGTGGTCTTTGTTTTCTTTTGTTTTTGGTCACGGTATCTTATTTTTGACCAGGGGACCCACTGATATCCTACAAAATGAGTTAGATAGGTATTGCTATTTCCTTTCTGGGAGTTTCAAGGAATTTGTCCCATTTCATCTATGTTGTCAAAACTATGGGCACAGAGTTATCCATAGTATACAGTCCTTATCCTTTTAATGCCTGTAGGGTCTGTAGTGATGTCCATGCCTCTTTCATGCCTGATATTTGTAATTTGTGCACTGTCCTTTTTGACATAGACAAAGAAAGGCCAGAAAGGAGAAATTATTTCAGTCAAGGCTGAGAGAGCCAGCTGGGCCATCCTTATTTCTGCTGCCTTGCCTGGCTGTTGGGTCAATCATCCTTTTTGAGGCTTCCTGTCCCCAGCCCATAGCTCTTGAACCCTCCACGTGGGCCTGTACTGCTTGGCCTCTGAGGTGACTCCCAACTTCTCAGAATGTTCTCTTGCCCTCTATCCCTGGCTTCTCCCACAAAACCAAACTCAAGAAGAGGGAATAGAATAACAAAGGAGACATCACGATGAGGGGTGGCAAATGGCATAGATGGGCTCCTTGTTAGAATCTGATGGAAGGCTCAGCTTACCTGGAGAAAGGCAACTCTGAACTTTCCATGGTGGGGAGAGGAGATCAGGGAAGAAACACAGTTATTGGCAAGGACAACTTCCTCCACTCTACTACCCCTTCCCTTTAACTTTTGTCTTCTTCGTTGTTAGAGGGAAGGGACTCATGAGATAGTCTCAGGGTCCCCTCAACACCTGCTGTTTGGGACTCCAGTCATCAGCATGCAGAGCTATGAACAGGGAAATAGAGTCTGCCTCCACTGTGAACCTCCAAGAACTATGCCAGGTCTTCTGATTCTAAAGTCCATTTTCTTTCTACTATGTCAGTGCCTCTTACATTAATGCCAAATATTCATTCATTTTTGTGCCAGGTGCTTTCCTTCCTATAGTCTTTAGGGGAGGATGAGGGGAGGCAAGGAAGGAAGAGGACAAGGAAAGACTCTTCTGCCTGAAGGCCTCCAGAAGGTGAGCACCCACTGGCTTTTGGGATGTTTTCCCACTCTCAGGAGTATATATCTGGTCTCCCTGGCTACCTTTCTGGAGAAGCAATGTTTGAGGAAGAGGGACACATTACAGGGATGCTGCAAGTGAGAACCTCCTCTTTATTCCACATATGGAAGCTGGTTTCTGGAGCTAGGTAGGGAAAGGGCTTTGGCCTGGCCCTACCTCTGTGTGGGCCCTAGGGATAAGGGTCTAGATTAGGGTGACAAGGCCTTCCTCCAGGTGGGAATGAAAAGTCCTGACCTCCAGTCAGTCCCAAATTAGGGGGTGGATGCAATGATGTGGGGCATTTCCTTGGTGTGGTGAGTATCGGCTTGGGGCAGGCTCCTCCAGGCGAGTTCTAAGATCCCATACTGAGTAATGCCCATAGGATTCATGGTACGGACATTATTCTGACCTGGGAGGGACACCACCTCCTGGAACTCCAGAGGACCTTTAGGGTTTTGAGAGCCACCACAAAACAGGTGGTAGAACAAGCGCTCCCCTGGAACCAGCTCCATGGCCTTTAGGGCCTCCTCATAGGTGATCTCTTGGGATTGGCGTTCATCTCTCAGTAACAGCTCCTGTAGAAGCTTCTGGATTCGGGGTGACTTAAGTTGGTATAGGTCCATGAGCTGGTAGAACTGTTCCATCCAAGCAGTGCTGTCTTTTGCATATCGTTGCTGCAACATCCGCAAGACATGGTACAGTGCCACAAATGTCTCCCAGAGAGGCACCTCTTCCTTTTTCTTAGAGACGGCCTGTGCCTTCTTCTCCAGCTTGGGCAATCTGGGAGACCTGCCTTTGTCCTTAAAAGCCCAGAAGTCCTTTTGAAACATCAGTGCAAGGGTTTGTTTGTCCACAGAGGCCTGGGCACCTGTGAAGCTATCTCCTGTGGCAGGATGAAAGTGTTGCACCTCCATCTCCTTGAGAGCAGTGGATATCTGCTCTGCCCATGCACTCCTGTAAGGCTCTTCTAGAAGGTGCCAATTTATACCCTTTGGGGTTGGAATCCCTTTGGTACCTAATGGGGACTTTAGTGTGGGGACAGTGAAAGGTTTTAACCAGCTTTCCTTTCCTTTTATAGGCGGGATCACTTTCAGGTACTTTGGACCCATGGGCTCCTTACTGGGTTTTGAGATATGTGCGCTTCGTGATTCCAGGACCTGCTTGTGACGGTACACAATGGCTTCAAGTTGGGCCAAATGTAGCCACTCTAAGTTTCCCTTTGAGGTGAGGTCTTTAAGAAGCTGGCACAATCTGTGGAAACTATCCCTAGTAAGCTGTTCTCCTGCCTCCATCTGTTCTAGGACATGGCGGATCCACTCTATATCTGAGAGTCCTACCTGAGCACCTATTTCCTTGGTCCAGATTTGGGGCACAGGTACCTCAGTCTTTCTCATCAGAGTTGGATGATGCTGCAAAATCCACTGCCACTTGGGCTCTAGTGGTTCACCTTGGAGTTTGTGAGCTTCCATGGTCTTCCTCAATATGTGAGGTAAATATGGAGTCTTTAAGTCTTGCTCTGGGGACTCCAAAACTGTATCCAAAAGTTGTAGAGGTTTGGGCTTATATTTCTTCAACGGTTCTCCTTGTCTGTCCATAAACCTTGACTCTGGAAGTATCCTGGATGCCTCAAGTGCTCTGGCCTTTTCTTCCCAGGATACTTGTTTTGTAGACACTGGCACTGGTATCGTCTCTTGCCTGCGTAGAGCTATTGTGATCACTTTCTTGGAAGGGACTTTCAGAACTTTTAGTTGTATATCACTGTCTTTGATATCAGGGATTCTTTTTCCAATAGAAGGGATTATTTCTCTTCTTTGGTCCTTTTCTCTTTCTGCTTGTGACTTAAATAATTTTTCTTTTTTAGAGATCTCTTTTTTCTTGTCTGCCTCTTTTTTCAGTGAGCTTTTCCCCTTTTCTTTCTCACTCAGACTTTCTGACTCTTCCTCACTCAGACTTTCTGACTCTTCCTCACTCAGACTTTCTGACTCTTCCTCACTGATGCTTTCCTTCTCCTCCTCTTCAAACACTTCCTCCTCCTCCCCTTCCTCCTCCACCTCTTCCTCCTCCTCTTTCTCCTCCTCCTCCTGCACCTTCTTCTTCTTCTTCTCCTTCTTCTCTTTCTCTTCCTTCTCCTTCTCTTTCTCCTTCTTTCTCTTCTCTTCCACCTCTACCTCCTCCACCACCTTCCCTTCTTCCTCTTCCTCCTCCTCCTCTTCTTCTTCTTCCTCCTCCTCTTCCTCCTCCTCCTCCTCAGACAAACTCTCTTGTTCTACTTGGTCTAATAAGCCTTCCATTTCTTCAGAAAGGCTCTCTCTACTTTCCTCTCGACTGGGAAGCTTTTCCTGTGGTGTATCAACTGTCTTTAGCTCTTTTCTCTTTCTCGACCTTTGTTTAAGCAGTGGTATTACCTCTTCATCCTTTGTTAGTCCTTCCTCTTCTTCTTCCTGTATGACTTCTCTCTGTTGTCTAGCCAATCTGCTTTCTTCCTCAGTTATTTTTTTCTCTTTCTTTATCATTCTTTTCATTTCCTTGGCCAGTTTTCTCTGCTTCTTAGCCAGTTTCTTCTCATCTTTGGTTACTTCTGGTTGTTCCTCAGAAAAATCCCACTCTTTGGCATCAAGTTTATTTTTTTCCTTGCTCAATTTCCTTTCCTTAACAAAGAAGTTCCTCTTCATCTTTGTCATCTCTATTTCTTCCTGGGTCAGTTTCATTTCTTCTTTGGTAAGCTCTCGAAGTGCCTTTAAGACTTTGCTACTCACTTTTGATGCCTTGGAAGTGCCCTCCTTTTCTTTAATCAACTTCCTTACTACTTTGGCTAGCTTCCTCTCTTCCTGCGCATACACTCTCCTTCCTCTGGTAAATTCCAGTTTTCTTTTGGCAATGTCCCTTTGCTCTGTGGCCAGTATCCTATCTTCATACCTCAGTATCTTCTCCTCTAGTGACAATTTCCTCTTGATTAGTTCTAGTTCATTCTTAGTCAGTCTTATCTGTTTTAAGGTTTCTTCAGTCTCTCCTGCAGAGAGAATTTGCTTTTCCTCAGACAGCCTGACCTTCTCCTGGGCCAGTTTCTTCATTTCCGTGCCCAGTGCCTTTTCTTCCTTGGCACCATCCCACTCTCCTCTGAGCATTTTCAGTTCTTGAAATACCGCCCTCTTCTCCATAGCTAATTCCATCTTGTCCTGGGCTAGATTGTGCTGCTTCTGAGCCAGACTTTCCTCTAATTGGGTCAGCTTTTTCTCTGCCTCGTCCAGCTTCTCCTTCTTCTGGGAAAGTTTTTCCTTTTCTTCCATCAACTTCTTCTCTACCTGAGCAAGTTTCTTCTTGTACACATCCAGTTTCTCCTTTGCTTGGTCTAATTTATTTTTGTTCTGTGCAAGGTTTTCTTTGACCTGGAGGAAGTTCTCTTTCCTCTGAGCCAATTTCACTTTCTCCTGAAGCAGATTCTCCCTCTCCTGAGCCAGAGACTTCTCCCTCCAATCTAGTATCGTCTTGTTCTTTGTGAGTTTCTCTTTGTCCTGGGCCAATTTTTCTTTTTCCTGGGCCAGTTTTAACTTGTTCTCCATCAGTTTCTTCCTTCTCTGGGCAAGCTTTTCCTCTTCCTCGGGCAGTTTCTCCTTGTCGTGGGCCAGTTTCTTCTCTTCCTGGATCAGCAGTTCTTCTTCCAGGGCCAGTGTTTTCTCTTCTTTAATCAATTTCTGCTCTTGCCAGGCCAGTGTCTTGTCTTCCTGAGCCAGTCCCTCCTCTTCCTCAGCCAGATCCTTCAATTCCTGAATCAGTTCCTCTTCTTTCCGAGCCAGTTCCTCCTCTTCCCACATCAGCTCCTCCAATTCCCGGGCTAATTCCTTTTCTTGCAATGCCAGCTCTTGCTCCTTCTGGGTCAGTTTTTCCATTTTCTGGGCCAGTATCTTTTTTACCTCAGCCAGCTTCCCTCCTTTCTTTGCTATTTTCTCTTCTTCTCGAGCCAGTTCCTCAAACTGCTTGGCCAGTTTCTTCCTTTTCTGGGCCAATTTCTCTGCTTCTTGGCTTAACTTCTCCTCTCTTTTGGCCAATTTTTCCTCATTGTGGACAAACTTCCTCTCTGACTGGACCATTGTCCTGTCTCTCTGAGCCAGTTTCCCATATTCCCTGGCCAGTTTTCTCTCTTCCTGGGCCAGTTTTCTCTCTTCCTGTACTAGCTTCTCCTCCTCTTGGGCCAGCTTCCTTTCTTCTTGGGCTCGTTTCCTTTCAGCCTGGGCTCGTTTCCTCTCCATCCAGGCCTGATTATATTCTTTTTGGATCTGTCTCTGCTCTTTTGACATTAGCTCTTCTTGTTCTTCTTCTCCCCATTCCTGAGGCAATTCTTCTCCCTTCAGGGTCAATTCCTCATCATCCTTGTGTTCCTCTCCGGACCTGGCCACTGTCTGTTCCCAGAACTCTAACCACTCATCCCATCTCAGCTTCTTCTTGTCCACATCCAGCTTTTCCTCCTCTGGGAGTGGCTTCCTTTCATCTGTTTGTTGTTTCTCCTCTTCCTCAAGATGCTTCTTGTCCCAAGCTTTCTTCCATTCATCCCAGGCTATCTTCGTCTCACCCTGGGCCTGTTTCCACTCATCCCAGGACTTCTTCCTCTCCTGCCAAGACAGCTTCCTCTCATCCATAACTGGCCTTTCTTCTTGCTTAACTACTTCCTCCTCTGGTTTGGCCACTTCCTCTACTGCCTGACTCACATCCCTCTCTGTTTTGCTCACTGTCTCTTTTTTATCCACTTTAATTTCCTGCTGAACTTCTTTCCTCTCTTGCTTAAAGGGCTTCGTAAAGGATTTCGTCTCTTCTTTCTTCGATATTCGTTTTCTCTTGGTGAGGCCACTGGGTCCTAAAAAGATAGCTTTCTTTTTCTTGCCTTTTTTGGGAATCACCTGGGTTTCCTGCAAGTATGGCATTTCCTCTGCTTCCTTTTGCACCTGCTCTTGCTCCTCTGGTATCTCGTCCTCCCTTCTGATGGTCATTATGTCATCTCTAATTGCCCCTTCATGAATAAAAATTGGTTTCTCCTCTGGCCAGGCTATATCCCAGTTGAGGTCCTCAAGCAGAACCTCACTTTTTTTCTCCAACAAGGGGCAGATCTCCTGAAAAAGTTCCCAACTGGGCTGTTGATCTGCCAGCACCTCCTGAGCCGTGGCCACTAGCTCCATGTTTAGAGCTTCTGACATTTTTGTTTGGGAACCAGATATTCTAAGGGTCATAAGACGACATAGATCATCTCGCCATGATGAGCTATCTTCAGGGATGGTCTTGCGGCCAGGCGCTCCAGTGGCACCCCGCCCTTTGGCTTTCAGCTGCTTCACAACTGGTTCTTCCTTTACAGCAGACAGAGATTCCTCAGTTGTAACTTCAGCTTCTTTTGTCTTCTTGTGCCTCTTTTTGGGTTTCTGAACTGTTCTTTTCTTGCTTTTTCTGTCATGTATTTTCCTCAGCATCTTCAGGTTCAATGCAAAATTGTCCTTTGAGGTGTCTTTCTCTGGAGGTTGTTGTTCACCATCTTTTGAAATCTTTAACACACTGATGGTTGAAGACATTCTAGAATGGGCGGCTGTATCCTCCACCAAAACTGGTGCAGCTTCCCTCTGGTCAATTTCACCCTCTAAGGGACCTGGCTGTTTGCCAGCCTCTTTTATCTTCTTGAGGGCCCGCCACAATTTTCGGACTGCAGGGAAGATCAGGAGATGGAGATAAGGAAGGCATAGGAGGCTTAAGTCACATCTTTCCCACTAATGGTATGAGTAAGAGGAATTGCCATCAAAGAAGTAGCAACAGAGGGGGCTGAGGCCTTTTAAAAAAGAGAAAAAGGATTCTCCTTACTTTATTCCAGTGCTCACCCCTTCCAAATCCTATGGAGATAAGCACTGGAGTCTCCCTGAGTTTGGGTAGATTCTTCCTAGGAAGTTTCTGTGAAAAGATCTGTCTACTTGTCTCTGGTCCTACCTGATTGATATCTCTTGACCTATGTTAGCCCTAACTATATTGCCTCTTGGGGACCCTGAGGCATGAACCAGATTACCCCACACGTACCGTGCTTTTTGCCCCCCGCTCGGCCCCGTCTTTGGCCTTTGCCGGACTTGACGGTAGCTTCAGATTCTTTAGGAATTACGTCAGGTTGCTTGGAAAGGGATATACGTTCAGAAATCCTTGAGACCTCTAAAGAGAAAGCAGGCTTTTCTTGTCCCTCTGACAAGGTCAGGTTTTCATTCAATCGCTGCTCCACTTGAGTATGAAGGATTTGGAGATCTGTGGCCCGCATCCCCAACAGATGGTCTAGGGATTCCTCCCCAATCATTTCCTGCCTATGAAAGTCAAGGGAGAGGAAAGACCATGGTGAATCAGGGACAATAGAGAGAACGAGAAGGAAGGAACTGCTGTGGAACAGGCAGGGGGCTTGGCACAGTGGCCAACAGAGACAGTGTACGTCGAGGTAAAGGATGGCCAAGAAGAGAGAGGAAGTCTAGAAAGCCAAGGTGGCAATGAATGGAGTGCTTTGTATGGGGACTGAAGAGGTAGGAGAAAAGAATGAAAAGGGGAACTCAAGAGTTAAGGGACAGACAGGAGCAGGAGAAAAAATGGAGACAGGAATGAGCAGTCAGGATTGTCAGGACGGTCTAGGAATGGAAAAAGACTATGAAAGAGAAAAAGGACAGGAAGAGTTAATGGACAGGTATGAAGAGTTAGTGAAGGAAGGGAAAGGAAAAAGAAAATTAGAGGCTAGTCAAGAATTGCAGAAGGCACAAAGAACTTACTGCATCTCCTGGAAGGTCTCTCGGTGCTGGATCAGGTTTAAGAGTGAGGACTTAGAGTGGATTCCGGTGTCAGCCATGAGGTTCAGGGCCTTACTCCTCACTCTTTGGTCCTTGTCCATCAATCCTTGGGCCAGAGGCATGGCAAAGAGATGAGTAATCATTCCTAGGTGCTTCAGCCCTTCCCAGGCTAGCTCTCGGATCAGCGGTTTGGAATTGGTGGTATCATCCAGTAGACGATGGGCTGTTTCAGAGCGCAGGGATGAAGACACCTCATAAGAGGCAAAGATTTGCCCCAGTGCACCAATACAGCATTGGTACTTCAGTGGAGAAGCATGGATCATAATGTTGAGGATTGTCTCCACCAGGCTATTAATAGCTATTTCACTCATCTTTTTCCCCAGCCAACTACATTTTGCTGAGTCTGTAAGGACACTGTAGGTTATATCCTTGGACAATCTCATTTCTATGAAGTCTTCATCCTCCTTTTCCTGTGAATATTCTCCTGCATCACTTAGAGATGTTACCCTACTATGCCAGAAGAAGAATTGTTGGGACTTGTCCCAATCTGTTTCCCACACAGGTGAATGCAGGTTGCACTGTAGGTATATCGGACTGCCCTCTGGCCAAAGACGGGCACGAATCACTGAGTTGGGGATATAACCGTCAGGAGCCAAGAGCCATTTACGCCCATGACCAAAGTAGCATCGCAATATTTGGTAGGGGTTGAGTCCATCCCAGGCAGTCAACTGTAGTTGGGGAGGAATCACATAATGGGGAGGTTTGCCCACCTCCATCCCATCAGTTTCTTCTTTATACAAGAAACCGTGTCTGAAGGCAGGCAGTACCATGGGACTCCCTTGCTTATCTTCCTCTATGACGTGTGGCACTGTATGATCAAAGGCAATGGCCCGCTTATTGACAAGTTTCTCTAGACTGACTAATTCCTGTTGCCCTTTTCCAAGGTAGATATACTTGGGCACAAACATGGTCTCAAAGGAGAAGAAGAAGCTTGGTGTGAAAGGCTTAGGGGACTCTAGCACTTCATCTGTCATGCTCATAAAGGAAAGGCGAGCCAGCAGGGTTGGGTGAAGCAGTTTTAGACAGGACACCAGATAAAGACTCTGGTTAAAAGACACAAGCAAGTCACCCCGGTCATTTGCAAAGCAGAGTGGGCCAAAGTGCAGCGATGAGTCCAGCATGGCTATAAGTCTGCCATGGAAGTTCCAGACCCGGACCGACCCATCGATACCACCTGTGACAAAAAGACTCAAGGACAGGCAGACATCAAAGGATGTGATGGTGCACTGGTGCAGAGGCAATGTCTCTATAAACACTGAGTCTTCTTGTGACTCAGAGGACAGAAAATCGTGGAACTTCCAGAGACGCAGACAGTTAGTCTCCGTGATAGCTCCCACAGACATGGGTAAGAGTATCAGGTGTCTTAGGTGACAGCTGCTGAGAATGCTGGCGAGGGGCTTCAAATGTACTTTCCTCCCCTCGAGCACAGCTTCTGATAGGTGTACATAGTCATCCATTCCATAGGAGCAGAGCAAAGAGTTTTCTCGGCTACCAAAAAGCCCTCCAGGTAGTGTAGAGAGTGCCAAGATAGCCCCAAAGTGCATGAACTTCTCTATCCGGGCACAGTAGTTCTGGGAAAGTACTCTTATCACACCACTCTGGTGTCCGGAGAACATGAGTCCTTGTAGACCCCGGCCCAGGTGGAAATGCCCATAAGCCAGGCATTGTACCCAGTCTTGAGAATTTGGTGAAGTGCACAAGAGATACTTGGCTGGGCAAGGGCAGCGGGTCGTGTCAAACACCAGCACCTCTGCATTGCCCGTCGCTACAAAGAGCTCCTCTTTTTCTGGGTCATAGGCCCAGTCCACAGCCCGGTCTAGGATCGTGAAGGGCCAGGTGAGGACGAGAAGATCCCCTGTGAGTGGGGACACAAAGCGCAGTAAGCCATCCTCCGTAGTGCACAGGATCCGGAACCAGTTATCACCGCAGCGGACCCGACGCAGCTGCTGGGGAGCAGAGCCGCAGACACTGAAGAGGCTGTAGAAGCAAGGCAGACGGCGCAAGGAGAAAGTATGCATAGTTTGGCAGAAGAAAGTAGTGTTGTCGATAAACTCGAGTTCATACAGTTCCTCACCAAGTTCTAGTCGCCGCAGCAGGTTCCCCAAAGTCAGGTTCCACTCCTTGATCAGGCCTTCCTTGCCAGCCGTTAGCAGGGTGTGGGCTTCTGGCCGGCTGCGGATACAGGTCACTGATGAGAAATGGGCCTTGAAACTGTGGAGAGAGTTTCCCCGGACAAGGCTCCATACTTGGATTTCCCCAGTCTTATTTCCGGCATAGAGAAAGCCCTGGTCGAAACAGGTGAAGCAGCAGGTGATAGAGGAGCCGCTGGTGGTGGATGTGAACCTCTGAACCTCTCCTAGCTGGCCATGGCCCTGGCGCTCAAGGACCCTCACCACCGTCTCACATAGCGCGAGGAGGGAGCCATTGGGGCCGTTCAGCCTGATGTCCTGGACAAGCTCCTCTCCAGGCATGGGGACCATGTGGGCTACTTGGAGGCCCTTGCCGCTCCGCTCGATGATCCAGGTGACCACTGCCCCCAGGATGCCTGACAGAAGCATTTTCATTTCCGGGTCATAGCAGAGGCAGTTGATGTTAAAGCGGCAGGGCACTATACCCAGGGGTTTGAATGACCGGAAGTGGTCCCCAAAGAGCCGCAGGATCAGGTCACCACAGTAGGCCACGAGGATATGAAAGGAACCTGTGTGGACCATGGACTGGATGGGCGGCAGTTTTTCAGTCATGGAGAATGTTCTTTTCTCGACCATGTCCTCAGTTTTGCTCTTCATCCATACTACAGCCTACAAGAGAGTTAGAGGAAAACTGCCTGGGAAAGATAGTCGAAGAGGAAAGGGCAGAATATGCAGCTCCTTTCCCCTGTGCTCATGCTGAGGAGGACTTGGAAGACTCTCGAGTGTTTTTACCACCCTTCCCCCCTGCCCCCGCCCCGGTTATGGGAATTGGAAATATGTGGAAGCAGGAAGCCTGGGACCCTTTCCCTAACCTTGGCCTATTTTAAGGGAACCAGAAAACCTATTCAAGGAGAGACTGTAATTGAGGAAGGGAGGAGGGGGGAATCCTAGATCTAGGTTATTTTCATTCAAGAGGTAGATCTCCCTTTGTCAGTCTGGGGTGAGAGTTTATGTGGGCATGGCCCCTGTTGAATGAGCTAAGAAGGAGAAGAAAGGCGAGGCAGTTTTACCTGTATTTCTTTGGTGCTTGTCACCCAAGAGAGGGAGGCAAAGAAGTTGGCATCACTGAAGTAATAGCATATAAGCGGCATATTTTGCGGATGGCGAGACTCTCTGAACAGTATCTGGGACTGGTCACTCAGCACAACCACTTCATTCTTTGGGTCTTCTGATGTTTGCTGGGGAAAGGCATGGCGTGAAATGAAGAGACTAGGACACATGTGCACTAAATATATTTTCACACAAGTCACAACTGAAGCCATTCCCAAGGTCATGCCTCATGCCTGTTACACCCACACATGCACGACTTGTCACTCATAGGACACCTACACTTCACAAGCAAGTAACACAATGCCCAACACAAGAGAGAACCAAACCCCTATAGGGCCTAAATGGGCAAATTTCATGGTGTGAGCACAGGGGAAAACAGATGTTCTTCCCAACATACCCGTTCACTAACACTCCCCCTTCTGTCTACAAGGTACAGATGTCGTAAAAGACATATTTAACACATTACCCAGGCAAGTGCACCACCGCAGACCTACACGAAATGTAACAGAACGTGACAAAAGTCAGTGCAACTTTAAGTTCTTAAGGCTTAAAAGTGCACAAAGGTAAGACATCATCACCCTGCCTGGCCTTTAAACTTGACAGAGGAAGGTAATATATATGCAATATGTATTATCCTACAGTGATAGAGCGTATGCTATGACACATTCGCCTGGGATAGTTTACACAAAGCCAACCGGAGCAAAACCGAGGTCGGAAAATGTTCTTTCTGGTGCCTTCTCCCTTCTCTTTTAGAAAAATCTGTCTCCCCAAAGGGTTGGTTCCTCTGACAATGCTCCAGAGTGTTCACCTTCTACTGTCCAAATGTACTTGCAAGAGATCCCTAGGCTCATTTGGAAATGAACAGCCCACTTCCTACCAAGGGGACAATTGTCTTATGGTCTACTGTGCCTGCTTTCTGCTTCCCTGGAAAATCTATGCTTCTTTGAAGTGCTCACAAGAATTAAAATAGATAGAGACCAATAACATGTTTATGTCCTACATATGTATTACCTTGCTTTTATGTATGATGTCATTTACCAAGTATTTAAAATCCTTCCACAGGGGAATGAGTCTGGTGGAAGACATCACCTTGATTATTCCCTGGTCCACCTCAGGACCGTTGCTTAAAAACCTGTGGGAATCCAAAAGAGGCCAGCTTAGCTGTTACTACTTTTTGAGAAACTAGGACTCAGAAGTCAAGATCCATGAACTCATGTGTATTAACACCTTTTGAACATCAGGAACTATCCATAAGACACATCTCATTTAACCCTCAATGAGGCCCAGGGAGGTAGGTATGACCCCATTTTATAGATTAGGAAATCGAGACTTGGGGAGGGTGAATAAAATTGAGGATTGAATCTTAACATTGGCTGTCATAACCCTGTAGGATATTATGGGCGAAGGAAGCATGGAGGGGGGCTAGAAAGGAATACAGTCGCAGGCAAATAACATTTCTTTGCTGCTGGTGGTGTGTCAAGAGAGCATTTTGCAAGGACTTGGGAGTTCCCAGAGTGCAGTCCTTGGATCTCCTGCACTGGGATTCCTAGGGAAGGAGTCTGTCTTAAAATACAGATCCCTAGGTACCATCCTGGACCGACTGAAGCAGAACCGTGGCAGTGGGACCCAGGGACCTTCACTTCTAACAAATTCCCTAGATGATTCTATGGACATTCAAGTCTGACTACTGAAATAGGAAATTGAAATGAGGGGGCCCCCAGGACTAATAGTCGACCCCACCTTGCATCGCTGGAGGAATGATCCAGCCCTCTGGCTTTGCAGGCCTTTCCAGGCGTTTGGAATCAAGTAGCTCTCTCACTCATGATGCAGCTGCTGTTCATCAACCTCTTCCCCATTCCCTTCTCCTTGGCCTTCATGAGGACAAACCTCTACTTTTCCTTCTTGGATTGGGAATCCTACTTTTAATAAGCCCCCCTCTGTCGGGGAGTCTATCATTGGTCTGACGATGGGCTTGTTTCCTTCATTTGTAAAATGAAAGTGCCAGCCTTGCCTACTTCACAGGATTGTTGCAAAGATCAAATAAAATAATTCCCGTGAATTCCTTTTTAAGTATACTCTGAAGCAACAAACAATTACGATTGCTGTTTTTAGGCTGGTCTGGTTCTCAAATATTTGTTTCTCTCCAACCTGTACTTTGTACTTTCAGTTGCTCTGGAAACATGACAGCTAAATTTATAGTCTGGCCAGCAGAGGGCAATGGAGGCCATCCTTGTGCCTGCCAGATGAAGGAAAACTGATGAACTTCGAGTTCGAAGAAGTAGCTCCTACCAGAGTGAGATCCTTAGGCCAGCAGCAGCAGCATCACCTGGGAACTTGTTGGAAATGCAAATTATCAGGCCCCACACCAGACCTACTGAATTGGTAATTATGACGGTAGGGCCCCCAAATCTGAGGTTTACAATCTCTCTGGCTGATCTTAGGCACACTAAACTCTGAGAACCACTTACCTGGAGTGGCTGGAAGTTCCAGAGAGTTTAGCCTGGGCCACCTGAGGTGAGGTCAGCAGGACCCACCCCCTGGCATGGCTAAGCCTAGGTCCTGTGTTACCACAGAGACTTGGTGGCTGGATTTGGGGGAGGCAGTAGGCAAAACGTATCATCCTCTCATGTGGAGAGTGGCTTAGAGTCACACCCCCTCAAGTTTTCACATCAGTCACTTGTTAGAGCCCCCCCCTCCAAAGTTTTCACATCGATCCCTTCATTCCTTCTCAAAAGAATTCTGAGAGGCAAATAATATTATCTCCATTATACATTATGGGGAACATGAATTCAGAAGGGGAAAGGGATGTGTTCAAGGCTACATGGGGCAGATTCAAGACTAAGATCCAATCCACAGTTCAGCCTTCCTCTACCATATCAGAGGAGGGAGAGGCTCTGCCAGCTGATGCCAAGGAAGCTCTCTGACCCACAGACCCACTAATGGGAACTGGTGACTGGCTGTCAGACACTAATGTCCCCTCTGTCTCTTTCTACTCTCCCCAAGGCTGCACGCTGCCCTCCTGCCATACCTTTTCCCATTCTCTTCCCCTAGAAGCCTACACTTGCTGCTCCTTTGGACCACATTTCAGGAGCCAGTGTGAGCTGCCTCAGATCCTGCACATCAGCGGATGGTCCAGTGGGCCAGGCCCCACAGCTCATATTCACTCTCCTGGCTCCTCCTTGAGGCCCCAGAGCTGCTGAGAGAATAGTCATTTGTAACAAATTTGCAGCCACTGCCCTCACATTCCATTGTTTCTAACATCTCCTCTGGGTCCAACTTCTCTTTGGCCAGCCTGCAAAAAGCAAGCAGTTAGGATCCCTTGGGGGCACATTCCTTGGGGGTTAGTGAGAAAGAAGGCCTTTGAACCCCAAGCCTCTATTGTTGTTGTCATTGTTTTTGCCACTCTCTCCTAGCCCATATACCAACTTCCTTAGATCACCCTCAGAGGACATCTCTCTCCTAAAGTTCCCCCACCTTTGATTCCCTAATCGCATTATCTGTCCTTAAAAACAAATCTGGAGTGAGCTTCAGATGCCTTCGTCCCAATAGTCTTGACTTTTTAATATCCTGATAATCCAAAGATGATGGAATGGGAGAATTCAGGCCCTGCAGTCAATTTAGGGGAGTTAGTATTCGGGGCCACATTTTGGTATGTCCTACTGACTATGGAGGCAAACCAGTTCTGTGATGGGCACCCGCACTACATCCTTTTCTTAGCCGCAGTCCACTCTCCAACCTGGTGGGACCAAAGGCCAGATTCCAGCAAGCCCTGCCTTTGTAATAAAGAGAATTGGCTCTAGAGGGCACTGCACTCCATGACACTGTTGTGTTCCTGGGCTCCTATTGGGTCACTCAGTGGCTCCATATGCTGTTATAGGAACATGAGGGCAGACAGTTCTTGCCCCATAGAGCTTACAGTTCAGCAGGGAAGGCAGACATCAAAGAGTTGTCATAAAATTGATTACAATGAGAAATTCTGAGTGATGGGTTCTATTATTTTTTGAACTTTTCTGCAACTTTTAATTTTCTCAAGCTTAAAACAAATTCAATTATGCTACTGATTCACTTTTACAAAGGAAAAGAACAAAGTGCTGTGAGTACATATAACAAGGAGACTTGGCCACCCAAAAGGAGGGTGATGTGTGCTCCACACGTTGAGATAATGCCCTGCATGAATCCCGTGCCCTCGTAGGTGACTCTCACTTTAGGGGACAGGGGTGCAGACACCTGGCATCAGAAAGGCCTAATTAGGGGTGCCTGGGTGGCTCAGTCGTTAAGCGTCTGCCTTCGGCTCAGGTCGTGATCCCGGGGTCCTGGGATCGAGCCCCGCATCGGGCTCCCTGCTCCGCGGGAGGCCGGATTCTCCCTCTCCCACTCCCCCTGCTTGTGTTCCCTCTCTCGCTGTGTCTCTGTCAAATAAATAAACAAAATCTTAAAAAAAAAAAAAAGGCCTAATTAATTAGTCAGAGGGGCCGTAATGCCAGAGGCAATCTTGGGAACTGATTAGGCATTTTAAATATTGTTTCGTTGAATTCTTACGATGATTCTATGACTTAGCTAACATCCTCCATTTAAACAACTTTTTAAAATGGACATGGTAAAAAATATTCAAGATACTAAGGAGCATAGAATGAAAAAGTCACCTTTTTACACGCGATAACCTTTCCTTGTTTCCCCTTCACAAAGGTAACCCTGGCTGTGTCTTTCTACAGGTGTTCTGTACATACTCAAGCATATATGTAAAAGATATCCTTACAAATAGTAGTGTACTACCTACACTGTTCTGCACCTCTTTCTCACCTAATTTATCTTAGAGATGAGCTCATAGTAATACATATAGCTCGGTCTCATTTTTCAGCAGTTGCTGGAGGCATGGTATCGATCATTTATTTATCCAAATTTCTATTAATGGACATTGGGCAGTTTCCAACCTTTTGCTACGACAGCCCATGCCACAAATGAGTATCTTTGTTTATGCCTCAGAGTTTTATTTTAGTTAAATGAAAATTTAAAATTGAAGCAATGTGAATGTTTTCTCATTAAACATCTTATTTTGGATATATTGGGTTAAATAAAATATTAAAATTAATTTCACCTATTTTAATTTTTTAATGTAATAATTAAATGGCACAGGTGGTTGCATTATAATTCTGTTCAATAGTCCTGCTTTAAATTGTCCCTCTCTGGTGGTGGTCTGATACCCCCATCGGACTTAGCTCCCTCAGGGCAGGAACCCAGTCTGTCTTGACTTTCCGCTGTCCCCATAATCACCCAATCTGGCATGAAGTAGGTGCTTAATACAGTTCTGTTGAATGAATGAGCAAATGAATGACCCTCTGCCCTCTCCCAGGAAGGATATATGCTTCCCAACTTCAAGTCTTACTGAGCATCTTCTTGGAAGAAAGAATGGTATTGACTGAGTTTTCTTGATAGAGGACCTTGCACTGCAGCCAATTCCCTCGGTAACCCCTATGGAGTTGGAGTGGTAACATCCATTTTTTGAAAAAAAAGGGTCGGATTCTTGATTATGTCGGCAGGTGGACTAAATTTGAACAAAATTCCCAGGCAGTAGGTATTCAACAAGCACTAGACACCCTCAGAATGTGTGATCAACGATTGAAGGGTGGCTCACAGGGCCTCCAGGGCAGCCCTCTGGGTGCTGGTCCTGAAGCTCCCGTGGAAGGAGGAGCTCTGGAGCTGCCTAGGCCAGCGAGAGGCCACCACACCCGAGTCCCTACACGCACGGGCGTCCGGGCCCTCGGCGTGGGCAGGAAGGAGGACGTGACCGCCTCTTCAAGGCTGGGGCCATCCATGCCTATTACCTGTGACGACAGGACTCCCGACAAGGGACGGGTACGGCGTGTGTGGCGATACCCGAGAGCTCCTATGTGAAGGAGTAGACTTAGAAGGAGCGCCTGAGTAGCGACCTTGGGGATGCTGCGGGAAGACTCGGCGGACGGAGCGGTTAGCCCCGCAACCCCACGCCCAGCAGAGCGACCGAGGCGAAGGGAGTGAGCGCGCGTGCGCACTGGCGCGCGCCCGGTAGGAAGAAGCCCAGCGCGCGATTCCGCGCGCGCGCGTTCGAA